TTAGAAGGATCATGTTATGTACTACATTTTATAATTAGGGCAAAAAAAAAAAAAATGTAGCTGCCCATACAACAGCAAGATGCCTTTCACCTATATGAAAAGTATGGTCACTGGCCAAAACTGGTTTGGCTCAGTGGATAGAGCATCGGCCTGTGGACTGAAAGGTTCCAGGTTCGATTCTTGTCAAGGGCATGTACCTTGGTTGCGGGCACATCCCAGGTGGGGGTGTGTGCAGAAGGAAGCTGATTGATGTTTCTCTCTCATCAATGTTTCTAACTCTCTATCCCTCTCTTTTCCTCTCTGTAAAAAATCAATAAAATACACTTATATATATTAAAAAAAAAGTATGGTCACTGGTGCATGCAGCATCCCAGATTGTGAGAGGGGTGTCCCACTGCCAGGGATGGGGCCTAAACCAGCAGTTGAACATCCTCTGAGGGCACAGGCTGGATTGAGGAACCCCACCTCCTCATGCATGAATTTCATGCATCGGGTCTCTAGTCTATATTATAATCTTATGTGATTTTTGAAGAAACAAAGGAGGAACTGATAAAGACATTATATACCATTTATTTTATAAGCACTAAAGAAATATGTAAAACCTCTGAAATACAATCTGAGTTTATAATCAATGAAAATAATTGACTTGATAATCTAGAGAAGTGGTGCTCAACAGTGGCTGCACAGAAAAATCATCTAGAGCACTTTTAAAAAGTCAGAAAGCCTGGTTCCACTCTCAGAGATTCTGATTTAATGAGTCTGATGTGAGCTGTAACATGAAAAGTTTTAAAGTTCTCCATGTGGTTCTAATGTGTAACTAACATTGAGAAACACTAATTTAGAGGAAACCAGGACTCCTGCTTATCTTGCATAACTTGAATGCCCTCAAAATGTATGGTATTGGCCAAGCGAATCTGAGCCTTAATTTCCATATCTGTTAAATAAAGATAGTAATAATTTACTAAAAAGCATTGTTGTGAGCATGAAGAGTCCTCAATTTAGTCCTTTGCTTTTAAAGATGTCCAGAATCTTCTGAGTCCATCTGTCTCAAATCAGGTACTCACCAAATCACAGACAGACTTGGAAGATGCTGATAAATAAGTAACTGGAAAGTATTCCCTTAGTCCATTTCTCACACATTCTCTGATAACCACAACCTTGGGTATTATTAAAATACAAATGCCCTGCCCCAGACACAGAAAAATATGTTCTCCAAAGGAAGAGCCTGTATTTTTCATTAACTTCCCAGTTTTTCCTATGGAAAATAATATAATAATTAATAAATAATAATATAAGAATAAACAGTGTCTTGCATACTCATAACTGTAAACCCATCTTTGCCCCACCCTGTATATATTTCAGTTCCCAGGGTTTAAAAAAATAATCATCCAGGGTATCCTTTTTTTTTGTATTTAATAATATGGGAAGCCAAATTATAATCAGAACGTAACTTTGTAAGCACAATATCAGAGCACAGCGAGAGAGGATAGTTTTGAGGAATCACTCATTCAAACTTTGTCATAATCTGCTAAATTCTCCTGGCCCCAAATAGAGTGTGTGTCAAGAGTGTGCAGAGTTCTCATGTTCTTCAAAGTCAGCATCTTCCTTTCCCTTTGGCAGTAGTTTCCTGTTTCTATGAATAATCTTTGCTTTGGAAAGGTCAATATACTTGGTAATTATTATTTTAGCATAATTTATTTATTTATTATTTTTCTTTTATTTATTTTTATTAAATTATTATCTGTGTACATATATTACCATTGCCCCCCTTCCATACATACCCTCCCTCCCCAGAGTTTTGTGTCCATTGGTTGTACTTATGTGCATGTATTTTAGCATAATTTAAATGATTAAGTTGTTACTTGATTTTGAAGATGACTTTTCTTGACCCTAAAATCTCAGCAGCCACCAATTTATTGCCTTTAAGGGTGGGATTCTTTTTTATTTTTGGCTTATGAAATTTATTAATTTGTTTCTTATGACCAAAGAGATAATGGAAGGATGATGAGATTAAGAAAATAAAAATTAATTTATCTCCGGAGGATCCAAGATGGCTGCGCCCAGGTGAACACCTAGCCGCAGCAGCACACAACAATTTCAATAAAATACAACTAAAATATAAAACGGACATTGCCCAGAACTACAGGAAGGTTGACTGACTGGAAATTCTACAGCGAGAAGCAAGGAGAAAACCAGAAGGAGGCGAGGGGGAGCTGGAAAAGCCCAAGATACTGAGACGTGGCACGCGTGGAGAGGACGGAGCCAGAGAGGAGGGAGAGGCGGAGTGCCTGGCGGGCGTTCCCTAGCGGAAAGGAGATAAAACTTCGACTGTGCTGGGCCCCCGACTGCTCTGAACCCCAGTTCTAGGCCAGACCCCGGGGACTCAGGCTCAGCTATAGGGAGCCGGGCTGAAGGCGGAACCCCAGAGAAGTGGCGAAAGAAGGTCCCGGCTGCTTGCACACTTCTCGAAGAGAAGGGACGGTCGGCTGTGCCGTGGGATTGCCCTGACAGGAAGGAGACTGGGGCTCCAGACTGCTCCGAATGCCACCTCCAATTCCACTTCCAACTGAACTGAACCCCAATACTGGGCTCATTGGGGGAGAGCATAGACTGTTTGGCAGCAGGTGAAAATCGAGGGCACCTTTCTCTCAGAGGCTCCGGCAGCGAGCACTGAAGGACCCGCATAGGGCGGGGCTGATGGAAGCCAAAGCTGCAGGCTCCACCCTGAAACCCCGTCCCATCTGTAACTGCGAAATGAGACAACAAAATAGATCACAAACGAAAGAAATGGAGGACAAAAAGCCTCTGGATATAGAGTTCAAATCTACGCTTATAAGGTTTTTCAAGAATTTCCTAGAAAAGACGGATTAGACCTATGAGGATATGAAAAGAGATCAACTAGAATTAATAAGGAGTCATCAAGAAATGATAAGGGATCAACAAGAAATAAAGAACACATTGTCTGAAATAAAAAAATATTTTACAGAGTCCTAAAAACAGAAGGGAAGATCGCAAGAATCAAGTCAAAGATTTGGAACATAAGGAGCCAGAAGACACTCCTCCACAGAAGCTAGAAGACAAGAGAATCCAGAAAATTGAAGATAATGTAAGAAACCTCTGGGACAACTTCAAGCAAACCAACATCAGAATTATGGGGGTCCCAGAAGATGAGAGAGAGCAAGATATCAAAAACATACTGAAAGAAATAGTGACAGAAAATTTCCCCCACCTGGTGAAAGAATTAGACTTACAAGTCCAGGAAGCGCACAGAACTCCAAACAAAAGGAATCCAAAGAGGACCACACCAAGACACATCATACTTAAAATTCCAAGAACAAAAGACAAAGAGAGAATATTAAAAGAAGCAAGAGCAAAGAAGGTAGTTACCTATAAAGGAGCACCTATACGATTGTCAGCTGACTTCTCAACAGAAACCATGCAGGCCAGAAGGGAATGGCAAGAAATATTCAAAGTGATGAATAGTAAGAACCTACAGCCAAAGATAATCTATCCAGCAAAGCTATCACTGAGAATCGAAGGTCAGATAAAGTGCTTCACTAATAAAAAAAAGCTAAAGGAGTTCATCAACACCAAACCAGAATTATATGAATTGCTGAAGAGAAAGTAAACAAAGATAAAAATTATGAACAACAAATACATAACTATCAACAAGTGAATCTAAAAACCAAGGAAATTAAAAAAAAAATCTGATGAACAATATTAACTGTTGAATATAATAGAATCAGAGGTATGGAAGGGGAGTGAACTGACGATTCTTGGGGAAAAGGGGAGAGAGGGGCATGGGAAGAGACTGAACATAAACTGTGCACCTATGGATGAGGACAATGGGGAGTGAGGAAAGGGCAGAGGGCGGGGTGGGAACCTGGTGGAGGAGAGCAATGGTGGGGGGGAGAAAAAGGAACATTTGTAATAATATGAACAATAAAAATATTTTTTAAAAAAAGAATATAAAAAAAATAATTTATCTCCTATTTACAATTCTACCAAAATGGCAGAATAGAGATGTAGCTAGTGTACCTATTCCGTAGCTGTTAACTCTTTTGAAGTGGTAACTCACTTTTGCTTTAGAATTTTGCTTTCAGCTTTTGTCCTGAGAGTGGGTCTCACTAAACCTCTCTCCTTTCTAAAATCTGTCTGTGGAAAGGACTTTTGATAAACTAATGTACTATAGTAATTTCAGGTAAGAGTAAAGATTTTATTTTCTTTGCTTTTAATCTTTTGGGATGTTTTAGGTTTTGGTTGGGTGTAAAGAATAAGAGGCAAACAAAAAGAGGTTGGTTGAGGGGTTAAGAGGCAAAGGTTCATTGGGCCTACAGCACTCACATAGAAACAATAAGCAGGCAGATAGCAGATTTTTTAGGAAGGAGGCCAAGGCTAGAGAGGCAGTGTGATGTTGTATAAAGAATTCTGGGCTTTAAATTAAGAGACATGAGCTCTGAGAGGCTATATTACTAACTGGTTCTGTGACTTTGACTAAGTCACTTGACCTCTCTAGGCCTTATCTTTAAACTAGAGGCCTGGTGCATGAAATTTGTGTATGGGGGTGGAGGTTCTCTCAGCCCGGCCTGCACCCTCTTACAGTCTGGGACCCCTTGGGGGATTTCCATCTACTGGCTTAGGCCTGATCCTCAGGGACATCCCTCTCGCAGTCCGGGACCCCTTGCTCCTTACTGCTCACTGCTCCTTACCACTTGGCTAGCTGTTCCTTAGCACAGCTGCTGCAAGCCTGGCCTCTGTGGGAGAGCACTGACCACCAGGAGGCAGCTCCTGCATTGAGCGTCTGCCCCCTGGTAGTCAGTGCATGTCATAGTTACCGGCTGTTCTGCCGGTCATTCCACAGTTCAGTTGATTTGCATATTAGGTTTTTATTGTATAGGATTGGGTAAGTTCAAGTAGCCAGTGTCTAGTAAATTCCTGTCCAGCTATGTGATTCTAATTATATCCATATTGACCTTCTTAATTTGAACTGTTTTTTTCAGCATTTAGTATGAGAACCTACGTTTGTCATATTTGTAATATCACCTTTACATCATTAGAAATGTTCCAGTTCCATGTGCAAGGAAATGAACATCAAATTAAGTAAGTAATTTTTGCCAAAATGCTCCTGTGACACCAAAGACCAGGCCTTTTATTAAGTATGCTTGCATGTATTTTACAAATTTTCTAAGCATTTATTTCCTTATGAGTTAATCCTGCATATGATTTGTGGTATTTGTAACATGTTTCATGCTTGTAACATCTCCCAGTAATTCTCTAACAGTATTATTTTTCTTTGGAGAGATGTTAAAGGATCATTCTCTGGGTAACCAAACAAATTCAAACAATACCTGGTAGGTTGGCTTAGTTCCAGATTCAGTAATTCTTCCAGTGAAGTATAGTGATTAATAACAAAAGTCTTGCATGTTGAGAGACCTGGATTGGAATACCAGATCTATCTTTCTATCAATTATGTAACTTTGGACAGTTCTGATATAAAGTGCTTATAATGAAATATAAAAATATGGGTAAGGTGTCTGGCCTGGAACAAAGTAGGAGCTCAATAAATGTTTATTCCATTCTATTATTTTAATGAGGAGAAGATTGAGTGGACATTTAGGGGCTAGATAAGTCAGGTAGAAGGACAGACTGGTATTTACTGGTAGCTATTGTATATTGGTTTGTTGCTTTTAAAATAAAAGCATAACATTACATTATTTTATTCTAGTAGAAAAGATTTATACTATTGAGTCTGAATATGTAGGAGTTAAATTGTCTGATTCACCAAATTAACCTTCATTTAGAATTCTAAAAAAAAAATCTCAGGGTTCCAGAATAAATAGCCATCACATTTAAAATATTTATACAAGGAACTAACTAACCAAAACTTTTAAAACAATGTAATATTCAGATGAGATCATCTTCTGATGGTCTTTAAATATTATTGGTCCTTTCCCACACATCCAAGCATGTCTTGCATTGTAAGTACTATAATAGTATCAGATATGTGTGCTTCTTTGTATCCATCTTCTCAGGCCTGACAATGTTTTTATATGTAAAATATTGAGAAGTACCTGGGACATATCTGACCATTCTTGGCATAAAAGGCCAAGATTTATAGCTTTTATTTTAGGTAGATTTTAAAAATTTGTTTAGAATTTTGTGGGGGTTTTTTTAGGCTAATTTTTTTGAAGGTACAGAAAAATATTCAGAATAAAATAATATAATAACAAGAACTTTCTTCTGTTTTGTTGCAGTGAATCCATTATTATTAATCTAGTGAATAATTCAAAGAAGACACAAGACTCTTACCAAGTTGAAACTGCAGATTACATCAAAGCGCAGAAAGTTAGAGAACCAGAGCCCAAGATTTGTTTCAGAAAGATGGAAGATAATTATTTGGAAACCCATGGATACAGAAAAGTGGTTGATTCCCAGTCAAGACATAGAGTATATGAACGAAGACACCCATGTGAGACTTTCCAGACATACCCAGAATCATACAAAATTTCGCAAACAGTGGAAAACCACTTACCTCATTACTTACCAGCTTATTCAAAGAAGACATATGACTCTTTCCAAGATGAACTGGAATATTACATCAAAGTGCAAAAAGCCAGAGGATTACACCCAAAGACTTGTTTCAGAAAGATAAGAGGGAATTCTATGGAAACCCATGGGTACAGAGAAGTTGATTCTGGATCCAGACAAAGAATCAACGAGCAAAGATTTTCAGTTCAGACTTCCCATACCTTCCAACGACCATACAATATTTCACCAGTGGAAAGCCAGTTACATCATTGGTTACCACCAGCTTATTTAAAGAGGACATACGATTCTTTCCAAAATGAACTTGAAGATTACATGGAAGTACAGAAAGCCAGACGACTACATCCGAAGACTTGTTTCAGAAAGATAAGTGATAGCTCTACAGAAACCAATGAGTACAGAGAAATGTTTGATTCCAGATCCAGACATAGAATGTCTGAGCCAAGACTCCCATTTGAGACTTTCCAGACCTACCCAGAATCATACAATATTTCACAAGTAGTGAAAAATCTCTTACCTCATTGCTTACCAGCTCATGACAACAAACATAAACTAGACTCTCTGACCTATTGTCAGCCCACCAGAGACTATTTCCCAGAAAAAACAGTACCCCTAAGCCTTAGTCAGCAAGAAAATAACTCTGGCTTGTACAGTGTAGAATCTGAATTTTACAAGCACCTCTCCTTAGAAAACAGCACCAGTGACCCTCAAGCAGGTCATAAACGAAGACATCAGAAGAGAAGGCATTTGGACGAAGGTGAAGAAAAGCTAGACAAAGAGCACTCCAAGCATAAAAAGAAGAAGAGTGATGGGGATATGGGTATAAATATGGACAAGAGCATCCGACAAAAGAAAAGAGAGGGAGATAAAGTTAGTGTCAGTTCAGGCAAGCTTAAACACCGAAAAAAGAAGAGAAGTAATGGTACACGCTCTATAAAAGAAGGACGTAAGCACAGGAAAGAGAAAAAGAAATCTGTTGAAGAAAAGACAGAAGAGGAAATGCTTTGGGATGAGTCTATTCTTGGATTTTGAACTTTTAGGTTGATTTACCCAAAGTTGCATTGAAGAAATCTTCTAAGAATATGGATTTAGGCAAAGAAACATTCAGTGAATAAAAAGAGAGGTGGATACCTTCAGCGTAGTTCAGTAAAGCTTTTTGTGTGTGTAAAAATTGAAATTGAATTTAAAGAAGAAACAAACAACCCTAAACAAAGCCTTTGAGAAAAAACATAAGAACAAAACAAGAACATAAGACAAAAGTATACCTGTTGAAGAAAAGACAGAAGACATTCTTTGGGATGAGTCTTGGATTTTGAATGTTTTAGTTTTATTTTAAGTTTGAATTGAAGAAATAAGTTGAATTTCATTTTATGAGATACATGTTATTTGAATTTTCCTAAGTGGACAGTGATTTTAAACTCTCAAAAAAAAAAAAAAAAAACAAGTGAAGTGAAAATATTTAATATGCCTTTTTGTCAAGTTATTTTTCCTTATTTTCTTTTAAGAGAGAGAGATTATATATTTCTTATGTACAATATAATATAATTTCCCTTAATGAGGTCTCTCTTTCTGCTCATCAAATCGCTGTGATAATTAATTATTTACCCATGGAAGATAATTTACTTTAAGTGAAAGAATTACTAGGCATTACAAAGTCCATTCTTTGTTTGGGTTTGTGTTAGTGTTGATGGTATTTTATTGTGTGTTTGTTTACGTTTCTTGATTTTCTCTAAGAAAAATGTATGAAGAGATTTAAACTACTTTTTTGTTCAATTTAATTTGCAGTGTATTTTTGTATTTTATAGTTCTGAAAGTGGAAAATGAAACAGTCTATAATAATCTTAGATGATATATAGTTTTAAAAGTACTGATACAAAGTCAGTCTATATTCTGGAAACGTTTATATTATATTAAAGTGTTTTAATTTCTACATATTGTTTTATGTAAATGGTCATTTCCTAGCCAAAGATAATTTTATTTTGGGAATGAGAGAGGAAATAATTAAACAAGACTGTACCTCTGGGGAGATCACATTATAAAGTGGTAATAATTTTATTTCTTCTACAGCTTGCTTAAAAGTTGATGCTCATATGAGCTCAGTTTTAAGTTAGAGAAATATGACTAACTATATACTTGAAAATGAAGAAGGGATAATTTATATGTGGAAGAAGGCTATGAGGGTACATTATCTTTAAAGGGCTTCATCTTGATTATTTTTTTTACTCCTTTTATATAGTAAGCACCTTCTAATAAGCATTTGAGCATCATCATAGTAGTATAGAGGGAGTAATAGGAAATCTAAATCTCAGGATTCTGGTTTTAGTTGTAACATCAAGTTTCTGTGTGACCTTGTGAGAATATCATCAGAATTAATTCAACATGGCCCTAGCTGGTTTGGCTAAGTGGATAGAGCATCAGCCTATGGAATGAAAGGTCCCAGGTTTGATTCCTATTAAAAGCACATGTCCAGGTTGTGGACTCCATCCCTAGTGGGAGGAGTGCAGGAGGCAGCCAATCAAAATTCTTTCTTATCATTGATGTTTCTATCTCTCTCTCCCTTGCCCTTCCTCACTGAAATCTAAAAATAAAAATAAAAAATAAAACAAAAAGAATTCAACATGGAGTCATCAGGAACAGGAAAAAAATATGCTACAATATTTCCCCGATGTGTTAATCCTATCAAAAAGCACACAAATTTAAATGGTTATGTATTTGCACTTAAGAAAGGCATTTAATACTTGGGTTTTCTTGAGATTTGAATAAAATGGAAAATATGAGCAGAAGCATATGACTGAATAGTCCAAAAAGGATTTAGATGGTCCACAAATTAACGTGTATTCCACAAGACTGTTGGTATAAGATTATTTGGTGATATAATATCACTTTCCCTATTTAAACACATCTGGTGTACTGGAGATAGGGGAAAAGAAGAATCACAGTCAAGCAAAGAGGGTGTCAATTAGCCACACACACACAAAAAAGTTCTTTTTTCTGAACATGCCAAAAAGACAACTTTTCCCCCCATAAAAATTGTGAGACAAGATAAATTGAATTGTAAGCATTTCTAGAACTGACAAATTATTTTAATTTATTTTACTTTTATTAGTCCTTTATTGTTTAAAGTATCATATATGTCTCTTTCATTGACCTCTCCCTGGTCATTCCCACCTCCCCAGCACCTGCCCTCACCCCCCTTCTGTCTGTATCCATGGGTTATGCTTATGTGCATGCATACATGTTTAATGTACAACATAAATTGATGAACTAAAATAAAATAGATCCATAGAAGCATCGAACAGACCATCCAACCTCAGAGGGAAGGCAGGGGTGGGGAGTGAGAAATCAACCAAAGAACTGAAAAATTCTTTTGCATAAAGTCCATTTTGTGTTTAAAGCTGGGGGATGGGAATTAAAAATTTATAAGAATATTCACTAAGATAACAAATTACTATGATCTTTTCAAAATAAATATATTGATGATTCATTAAAATTAGCCACACATTTTTAATTAATAGTGGGTAAATCATACAAATTTTAAACATTAAAACCATTTTAATTTGGTGGTGGTGGTGGCAACTTGGGGAGGGTTAAGGGTGTGGTGTTGACTACAATATTGAGGAAGTCACCACTGACTTGCTGTAGAAAGTGGTTTTTAAAAGTTACCCAAAATAAATTTTATGTTAAGCCACCATAAAATAAAATTTCTGTTAATCAGAAAGTGTTGTTTTCTGGTTGAAGCTGGGGAGAAGGAACTGACACCCGACTTTGACATCTGAACACTTAGAGGTAAAAGTGTAAGTCAAGATATTTAAATATATATATGTATGATCCAAAATGATCTCACTTCTGAATTAAGTGCTGAATCTCTAGTAAAATGAAATTGAATAGTGTGTATTTAATCCTGCATTTGGCTATAGAAGACAATACATAACATATTTGAGGAGACATACTTTAAGATATTACATATATAAACAGTGTTAGGATTTTTATTGTATGCCTGGTTTGAGAGAGTAGAATACTCATCCAGATATATGATCTAAGGTAAATTATTGAAATCAGTATTCAGACAAATAAATTAATAGCATGCAGCTTCATAGGAATAGAAGATAGATGAAGGCAAATTTTAGCTGAATTTGGAAATTGAGTTTCAATAATTGAAGCTATAGAAAAAATTGAGTTGACTACCTTGTTATATGCATGCATTGAACAAATAAGAAGAGATGACTGTCAGCATTGAGCCAGGAAAGAACCTGAGAAAAACATGAGAATATAGGTTCTGTTCCCCAAACAACTCACAGTTATTAGTAAAAAACAAACAAAAACAACAACAACAAAACAGAACATTTTTTTTTACTAATAGAGAAAATGGACCAATAAAAAGGAAATTGCAATGTGAATTTGATAAAATCTACACTAGAAGTGATGATGGATGGTATGGGTAGCAAGGTAACAAGCTTAAAGGGATAAAAAGTGGGCGTTCAGGAAAGGCTTCCCAAAGTGACTTCTAAACAGACCTTTTCCTTTCAGTTCAAAGACTTTCTTTAATATATACACATGTTATCTTTTGTGTACTTCAAACTTAATATAGCCAAATAGAGTGCCTGCTTCTGTCATTGTCAATCATTCTTCTCCCACTTCCCCCCATTTCTGTAAAATGTTCATCCACTTGCTCAAGCCAAACACCATTTTGAGAATCTCTTCACTCCTATATTAGACCATAAGCAATTCCCCTTGATCATCTCACCAAACTATTTCTCTTAATGTTCAATTATTTTTGTCACTGCCACCACCCTAATCTGAAATATATTTTTTAATCAAAATGGTAAAATAGATTTGAAAGTAACTGAAAATTTTGGCAAAATCATCACGTGTTCTGAATTACAGGTCAGTAGAAAAATGCACAAAATTAGCAACAGATCAGAATGCTGTGGTGAACTAAGCCCTTGAGAATTTCAGAACTATCAAGCATATAGTTTCTTTCAGAATAACAAATAGAATGTTAGTTTCAGAAATCAAATTGGACAGACTCGTTGTGGGTAAGGAGAAGGGGAAAGAATCCAGAGATAGATAGTGAATGGAGGAAGAATCCAAAGAAAGTTGATCTTAGGCAGTATTCTGACAGCAAAATAAACTTCTAAAGGAAAGAGTAATACATTGGAAGGCAAGACCTATAGGATGGGAACACACCAGAAAAACACAGGCACAAAGTAAATGGAAACTCTATTATGTGGATGGTATGAACATGTATGCTCCTATGGTCACACGTCAGGCTCAGCCATCTCAATCGTGTGAAGATTGTGGGCTACGGAACTCTATAGATTTTAACTCGGCAGTTACGTGGCTTCTGCCATCACGGCACAGGCACAGCCGGGCACTCGCGTGAACGCTGCCGCTAGCCAATCACTGTGGGGCATGCATAGCCTAGGGTCACGCTAGGAGCACGTACCACGCACCACGCACCACGCTATGATCACGCACCACGCTATGATCACGCACCACGCTATGATCACGTATCATGCTGTCATAACATACGATCACGCGAGAGTCCATTCTCAAGTGAGGATCGAGGGTTCTAGAACCCTGAGTCTCTCCGTCTTGTGACTCCTATCAGGAGGTCTTGGAAGTCAGGTAAGGCCCAGAGCTGCCGGGACATGGGTCCCTCAGTTTTGTGACCCCCCCTATGGTCATGTTCACCATTTAAGTGTGTGGTAACTCCTCAACTGTAGCTCTGCTTACCTTTCTGAGGAGTCAGACCTGCGGGTCGGTTCAGAAAATCGTTAAAACGGTGGTCCGCGCGCTGGCTGAGGGGCATTTTGATGAGCCAGGCCCACACCCGATCTTTCCCCTCATCCCTAGCCTGCCTCCCGGAGCGGTGGGCCTTACTCGGTAGAGGGGCGCCACCGGGTAGGAGGGTCCCGAGTCTGTACTAGATTTTTTTTTTTTCCAGAGAATTGGCGGAGGGAGAGGGCGCGGCGGCGGGGTTTATGGACTTCTCTCAATGCCTAGACTCAGGAACTAAGGTAAGACCCTCTTCCCATTTCCCTTCCTGCTGCCACATCAAAGCCCTGCTCTTTGGGCAGACGGTTCTGGTGTGTGTGTGGGGATGGTGAAAGGTGGTGGTGGTGGTGGTGGTGGTGGTAGAAGAGGTATTGGGGTGAGGATGGCGGACATGGACAGCAGTGTGCTGGTTGCGGGGGGGGGGGGGGGCGTTATAGGTGGAGGTGGAAGAAGTCATAGAGCGGGTAAATGGAAAAGATTAAATTTAAAAAACAAAGTAAAATAAAATAGGCAGGATGTTCTAGCTGCGTCATGGGTTATCATTAACTGCTGCCATGGCCTATGTATCAATTTGCCAAATTTCTTGAGAGGAGGGCAGTAAACCAGCCTGTTGCTTCTTTCCCATTTTTTCTCAGTGGTTGTCC